TGCACCGATCCCTGCTATATCGGAGTTTTTTTTTCAACCGCCAAATATCGATATAACCTAGTGAATTAGTTTTGAATGAAGAGATTCAATGGCCCATTCCGATTTAACTATACCAACCCCTGCACCAGATGTGATTTTGGCAAATAGCCAAAGAAGTTGAGCGCACGTGTTACCAAGAGAATGAGTTGATAGTTGACCTTGAATCTTTCCCTTACGCTACGGCAGATCGGACTCTGTTCTGTACATTCTCGCAATGATTAAACCGGTGTTTCACTACATCGGAGAGAGCAACATCGATTTAGGGTTTGCTGTCATGAATAAATCGATTTAGTAGAGTCGAAATGCTCACTCCGGAATTTTGTTGAAGATGAAATGGATAAATCGGTATTACGATGTTGGAGTTAAATCGATATATTGTCTTACATCGGTATAAAGCCCAGTCCTAGTGGACAGACCCCTGCTTTGACACAGATGGGACAACAGCATCCCTTTTATTTATTTATTTTTTCTGATGCTCTAATTGCAAGCCGAAATATATTTTGGTATTTTTTAATAATAAAGAATAGTCTAATAGTTACTAAAAAAAAATCTCTTAGATCATCAGAATCATATTTGTAATAAAATATAAAATCTGAAAAAAAGTAGTTAGAATTTTTTTTTTTATTTACATAAAAAAAATTTGTCAATAATTGATTTTATAAATTAAAGTAATTTCAGTGATGACTTACTGTTTCTCTTAGATCCAAATAACTGCAAATTTAAAAAATAATTGTTTAAAAGTTAGTCTTGTTTGGAAGATTTTACCTTTAATGTAGAAATAGATACTGGTGTTTCAGGTTGAATTTCATAACCATAAATCATTAAAATGTCTAATATCATATTTTTCACTTATTTTTACTTTTTTTTTAAAAATTTCCATTGGCATGACAATGCAAAAGGAACAACAACAAAGCTAACAAGGTAAAAAAGTGCAGTGGTAGAACATAAAAATTGGCTGAAGTCATTGCCTTATTAAAAGTTCTTTTGCTCGCCTATACAGTGTCATCTCAAAATCGCCATGGAGCGATAAGAGATGATAGAGGTGAGTTCTATTCATTAGCTCTACCAAATTACAAATGGGGCAGTTTGGATGGTTCAAAATCCCCTAAACGATGGAGTTGTTTTCCTAGACTGTCAGGACCCGTCAAAAGACGGAATTTTGCAACAGCTTCGCGACGTGGAGAGTTGGGAATACGCATAAGATTGTCAATTCTCCATCACTTTAACTGCAAATTATCAAGTAGTTGTACTTTAAAATTTTATGACTTAACTTGTTGGATATACAGCTTTGTAGAATGAAAAAATATATTTGAACATGACTGAAGCAATCTCGAGCCTATCCTCGCAATAAAATCAACCTGTTTGTTTCCATTAACTCCACAATGTCTAGGTATCCACTGGAGTACAACATGCTTCTTCTTTAAGGCCAATCTTTGCAAGTAATTCAGCAAACTGTTAACAGCAGAATATCTAGTTGACTGAATAATAATTATTTGATATGCAGCCACTGGGAAATTCATTCATTTTTTTTAACTGCAAGAATTTTATGTAGTAAATTTTTAAAGCTAAGCTCAATAAATTTAGCAATTCAAAACCATGTGAAAATAATTTAATTGGATTCAATAAGTAAATGCAAGTAAATGTTGTAAACTATTTATTTTTAATTTATCTTCATAATTGTTTGGGTTAATTTTCTGAATTGAGTTATAAAGCTCATTTGATCTTATATAGTAGATATTTAATATAATTAATTTTAAAATAACTTTTCTTTTTACATTCAAACATAAGAATTAGTTTATAAATAGAAATAAAAGTTTGACAGCTTGTTAAACATTTTTAAATACTGGTGTATATTTTTTATTGTATTTTTTCATCTTAGCTTCAGATCTACCGAATAGTTTAATTAATCTCTATTTTAAATATTGGCATTTAAAAAAGAAATACTTTACATTTTAGAAAGAAATATTTAAAATGGAAAAAGAAATAAACTCTTTCAAACTTATACAATTTTACATTTGAAAAAAAAGTTTAATAACGTAAACTTCAATTATAATTTTGAAAATAGTAAAGCTCTTTAAAAATAGAAAAAAGTATGCAGTATTTCTCTCATTAATTAAATATCTTAATTAATACACTTGATATATCTAAGCCTAATATTATATACCTGTTAAATTTTTTACTCTAATATTTCCTTACAGATAAACCACTTTAAAAAAGAGGAAAATATTCAGTAGACGAGAAGGTTTGATATTAAGCTTACAATTGAATATTTAGCAACAAATAATACATAATTATTTTGTGCAGCAGTAATTTATATATAGGATTTGTCCCAAAAGTAATATCAGTGAAAAATTTTATTTTTTGTTTATTTAACCAATTGATAAAACTAATATGAACAAAAAATTTTAAAAATAGACTGTTTACGCATTGATACAGTAAGATTTTCTGGCACTAAAGGGTTTACACTCGGGTTTTTTCCAGAAATCTTCTAATACCTTGATGCAAGTCAAGATGTTCCAAAATGTCCTATTTTGTTAGTTTTTAAGCATAGGAACAAAAGACTTGTAGGACTGTTTAGGTGTTTTGAAAATCGTTGGCACTTATGAATTGCATTACTCAAGCTACCAGAGTAGAAAGATTTTTCAACACAATTATATAAAGGATTCTTTTAGAATTATTTAATGTTTGTTAATACAGGTACACTCATAAAGGGGTTTGCATTAATGAATTAGGTGACGCAAATCAGTGATGATCCCTGATAGCCATTTTATGTGGCTTATACTGCTGACCATTTCGGCTTATCAAATGTTTTGTGTGTATGCTTCATATTAAAGTCACTAATTTTAATTTTTTGACAAACCTTGCGCCCACTCAAGTTTTTTTTCCTTTTTTAATTCATTAGACTAAAAATATACTTTCAGCCAAAGCTGTTGAATTATTTATTTAGTAAAATATGTGTTATTATTAATTTTGCATGTTATCATGATTTAGATAAATGATTGGGTTCAATCACAAGAAGTTCCTGGTTTGTTTACTGGCTCAACAGGTGCTAAGCTTTTAAGTGTAGAAGAACTTAGTGGGCCCAGACATTGGAATTATAGGGCAAAAAAGGTAAGGGGTAAAATTTTTGCAATTTTAAATTTTTACTGCATATAACCATTATTATTACTGCCATTACCAATTTATTATTATTTTTTTTTAGGATTTAATGTTAATTTTATCTTGTTTTTAGATTCAAGTTATCTAGTTTGTGGAAAGTTATATTTTAATATTATGGGGATATTTTAATATTTATTGAGTGCAAGTTAGTTCTTTTTATCTTTAACTAATGCTATTTATTATTTGTCTCTTTCACATAAAAAATTTTGGTGTCTTTATCTTAAGAAAACTGTGTGTTACAAATTCATTTTTCCTTTATACATAAAAAAGATTTCAAGAAAGAAATTTTATTAACATACTCTCATGAATAGTGTTTTATTTGCCTAGTGCAGTTGAATGTTCTGGTGAATTTGTGAATGGCGTAAAATTTTCAGAAAGTTAAATAGTGTAAAAACAAAACACTGGTTTGCTATGTGGGCAAGCACGCAGAATGAAAAATAGTTTTCCATGTATAAATCTTAAGGGTTAATTTATTAAAACTGATGAGGACACCACTCATTGCAATACTATTACTTTTCTCAGATAATTTTCTTTTCTCCTTTTTAACCCTTCCTAAAGTACGGTAGAACTGTATGAAATAATGGAGTTTGATAAAACATACTTACAATATTTTCAAAAGATTGGGAAAAAAAAGAAAAAGGAACGTTAGTTTGAAACTATTGTAACTATGTTTTATGAGACTTCATATTTTAAAGTATGACATCCTCTTTATTGTATTGCAGAGGATAGGGTATTTCTTAAGAACCCTCATGTGCGTATTCAGATTAAGAATTCAAAGTCATCTTGTAGCAAGCCCTCAATTTAATCAAGAAACAGAAGTGGAAATACTAAGTGTTTTTTAATGGGTAAGTCAAGATTATGTTATCAGCCACAAATATGTCTTACAGTGCTTAAAAGTAGAATATGTTAATTTTGCAAAAAGGAAATATATATCTATATTGTATGTTTATTTTATAAAGCAGTGAGTTATCAATGTATTTAATCCATGGATTTATAAAAAGATTTTCTTTATAAAAAAATTTAAAAAATAACATAGTCCGAATAAAGAGGTATTAATTTTCTGTTGAATATAAATTAAATTAAAAAATGCCACATAATCAGGCATACGATTGTTTTGAGAGAGTCAAAATAAAGAAATGCAGGAGAAATTTATGAATGGACAAGTGGTTTTTGTAAATTTTTTATTATCCTTCTTAAAGAATTAAAACAATTTATAGTATTACAATTATAGTTATTTATAGTATTACTCTCATGTGTGAGTGAGAGGAATGGCATTATTGCTATGAGGTCTATATGAAATGTGAACAAAGTTTAAGTTTAAGACGCATACAAGTGCCCTTAGTGTGATTTCTGCAAATAATATTCTTTTTGTCAATATTTTTGAATATTCAATTGATCTTTTTAATCATTATTTTTTTCCATGAAATATTATTGGTAGCCCATATTTTTTTCAAAAGTACAGTTTTGAAAACTTTTATAAAAGAACATACTCAGGTTGAGGGATCCGATTTTTGAGGGGAGTAAAACTAAAATACAATTATACTCTCTAAATTTCATACTTTAGAAAAAAATATATCTACTAAATATTTGAATTTTGTCTACTAAATATTTGAAAAAATATCTATTATTTTTATTATCTTTTTGTTTCTAACTTTGATGAATTTTAATCGATGATGATTCATAAAAATATTATTTATATGTCTGAAATATTAATGGGGGATATTAAGAAATTCATAATTATTGAGAGGAACATATTCCTTCTGTCCCCCGTAATGTCACCCACGCCAAAGAACATGCAATAAAACACAGGAAAAGTTATCTATTTTAACTTTTAATCTTCCTGTCTTGATTCCATCTGGTTACAACATAATAACGTCTGGTAATGGCTGACATGTAGCTCCTTAAATCTTAATATGAATAATGTAATTTATGTTTATACTACTTAACCTATTAAATTATTATTTTTAAATTTAAATAAACATTTATGCTTGTGTTTCCTTTTTGTCAGTAAAACAGTTTTACTTTTAGTCGAAAGCACTGTTAAACATGTAAGTATTTAGAACCATATATGTTTATTATATTTTTTTTTAAATGTTTGAATAAAATTTTTGTTACATTGTCACAAAATGACACTGTGCCGTTGATCAATAAGTGTCCAAATGACTTACGTCAAAAGTTTTTGATTTCAATTTTTTTTAAAAAAGAGTTTAGCTTTCTGTTGGTTCTAAGTACTTTTTATTTGTGGGTGATGCATAAACCTATAAATTGAGAGCTTGTTACAGGAAATATTCTTTTAGAACATCTTTCAGAAATTGCTGTCTTCAAATGGAATGGAAAGTTGCTGTCCAAAGGTGGAAACTTATAATTTTTGGTAAGAAGTAAATAAATAATATTTTTGTTATCATGTGGCATGTTTTATATAATTATATGAATGAATAAAGGATTTATAATAAAATTGTTGCTCTTTAATCAAAATTTTTGTTTTTTATTTGTTTATTGTTACATGTTACTAAGATAATTGTTATTGCACATTATTCTTTTATGTTTTTATTTGCTATTGAATGTGTTGTAGTTTCGTCTTTATCACATGATACTGTATTTTTCGGAAATATTTTCCTTATTTACTTACACAATGAGAAAAGCTTTTATGTGAATATATTTCCCTCATTTTGTAACTCATACTTTCATCCAGTCATCATGTTGTTGAACTCCTAACAACTATAACTAATTTATTTATCTGTTCTGACAAATAAACCAAATTCAAGTATAATAATAATTTTTTAAGAGAAAATCAAATTTATTGAAATATATTTGATTTCCAGAGACTACACAAATCGCAATTTGTGTCACAGGTAAAATATATTAAATAAAAAGCAATATGATAACATCAATATAAATATATGCACTGTTGAACCCCTGTTATACAATGTCTGTTTTGTATGTTATCCCTCTTCCTATGTCATTTTCTAATGGTCAGTGAAAATAGCCTATATTGATAATGTTAAATTATACCAGATTTTACGTTACCATTTTTTTTTCTTAATACGTTTTTCTATCCTCTCTTATCCCTCTTAATACGTTTTAGTTCAGTTAAAAATCATTTTCTTAACAAATCTCACACTAGTTTTCTTGAAGTTCTTTCTTTTTATTAAAAGAGAGATAGATGTGTTCAAAAGCTGTTCTGGCATTCTTTCTATTTTAACTTATTGTCCTTTTGTCTGTGAGAGGAGATTTTCCCTTGCGTCGTCCTCTTGAGAAATGAGGTCGGATGGGCAAAGCTCGGGAAGGCTGGTTGTATTGCTGCCTCTGTAAAAACAACACACACAGAAAAATAGATTTTCTTTATTAAGCAAAAAAAAAAAAAAAGTCAGGAATTAAATGTTTATTTAGCTTTATTAACACAAGTTATGCAGACATGCCAACTGCTCCGGACGAGCCATAATTATTTAAAAAACGGTAAACAACTGCAAACTAAAATTTGCAAATAATTGTCTAATTATACTTATTTTTTAGACGGTATAGCACATCTAAAGTAACGCAAAGTGGCGAATCGTATAACCTTTCGAATTATTTAGAAGTAGTGGTGGATTAAAACCTAATAAATTGAACTTTCTAAACCAAGAATCATACCACTCGAAAATATTTATTTGCCGTCCCGAGCAAGTTGTCATCTCTGGTTATGGCATTAAATTTTTAAATTATTCGATTTGTTTAGCTATCATTACTATTTTAACTATTGTCTGTTTAGTGATTTGTTTAGCTAAAAATTTTTGTTTATTGAAATCCTATTTAAAAAGCAATAAAATTTCAAATATTTGTTTCAATGCCCACAGATTTGTAAAATTGCTTTTATTTTATTTGTAAGCTTAATGGAAAATAAAATATTTTCATTTTTCAATGCATAATACTGCAATAAAAAAACTTCCATTTCATTTATTTTTAAAATTGTTTTCTGTTTTAATATGCTTTATAAAATTTTTAAATTGTGTTCTAAATAAATAAGAAAACGTATGTGAAAAGTAACTATTTCAGACTTGATTATTTTTCTTAAATATATCACTGTGTTGACACTTAAGTTCTGCATTATCTTGAAGTAAAACTTTCCTAAAAAATTATACTTGAGGCATAAACATAAAGTAATCAAAATCTTTTAAAAAAGAAGATAGATAATATTTTTATAGAGCCTGTTACTTTTCTTTCTTTTGAAAGGTAAATTTTATCAAAAAATTGTCAGTTAAATTTTTTCTCTCAGTTCACACAAATTACCTATAACTTAATTGTAGAGCCTACATCTCATTCTACCATTCTTACATTTAAATTTTACAATTCTTTATCAGCTAATTATGAACAATTTCTCAAAATTCCCTCTAATTTATCCTTCATAAAATTTTTGATGTTTTAATCACTACTTGATAAGCAATATTAACACTAGATTGCCTAAGCAAGTCATTTTGACTGCTTTTAATTTCAATTGAAAAAACAATGATGTACATAATGACAAAATTTCTTAGAATTTTGTACAACATATAATTTTTTTATTGTTAATATTTACTAATAACTTGTTATATAACTGTAAATAATATAAAAAATATTAAAATTTAATATTAAACAAATTTCTTTACCCATTGTTTATTCTTTTACAATCCAGTCATTTTGATTGCTTTTGGGCAATATAGAGGATATACTAAGTTTCAGTCTTTCTAGTGTTAATTGACTTATGTTACATATCTTTTTTAATTGTTTGGTAATCTGGCACACACACAGAATATCCTTAAAAATTAATTTACAATTGTATGTTTTTTTATTTCTCACATGCGTTTTATTTTTATGGTTTTGTTTTTTTTCTTTTTAAAATGATATTTAAGGTATAAGCATGCATTAAATAATATCAACCCAGGGTGAAGTGGTCAATTTCTGTGAAAAATTGTATTTTTGTCTTCAATTGGATGAGACACTATAATGGCTAATTCAAGGTTAGCTTAGCTGTTAAGCTATCTCTAATTAGGATAAACCAATACATAAGATTATGTATTTTCCTATCTTATAAGGAATACATCCAAATAAATTCAATAACTATAAATATTTTCAAAACACATCTGGAAGGTAATTTTCTTTTTCAATGGACTAATACAGCACTAAAGTGAGATGTGTCTAGCCTTTATAAATTAAAAAAAATTCTATAATTTTATTCAAAATTTATACAAAAAATTTTGTTTTTACTCAATTATATTTTCCATAATGTTTGCATCACATAGTTTTGTGCATTCTGAATCGTGATCGCCAGAATTTAATTACGTAGAGTTGATTTTTATTGCTTAGTTTAATTTCAATCTGGTAAATCTTTTTTAATTTTAAAAACTATGTATGATTATCAACTCAGCTTAACTAACTTATGTTAGAAACCTGTAAACAAGTTAATTTTTGTTAGAAGCAAATATATTGATTTATAAAATAAACATAAAAATTAATAATTAAAAAACAATAAATTGGTTTAAACACAAAATTATCGTATTAGAAAGCTGAAGTTTTAGTTTCAAATAACAAGGAATTTAAAGTTGTAAATTACGCTATTTCAATTAATTATACAATAAAATCTATCTAATATATATTTATTTAAAACTTTAATCCTTATAATTCAAAATATCATTAACACATATTCTCGAAACTTTACATGTGTTGTTTATATCATTGTTTTGTTATGTCCAAAAAAGAGCACAAAAACTATATCAATATACGCTAATACTTTAAAACTAATATTTATACCTAAAGACTAATAATTAGTATACTTAAAAACTAATTTATAGTATAATTTAAAAAAACTGGAATTGGAGCCTGATAATAAAAGGGAAGTTTAAGTTAAGTAAGTTTTCTTTTAAGTTTAATTGAAGGTTAAATTCTTTTTGATTCAACCTCAATTTAATGTGCGTCTCCCTCTCTTCAAATAGGTTATGTAGTAAAGTTGTCATTATATTAAAAATGCGTTTTATTTAAGCATCATTTTCTATATTATGTGTCACTTAGAAATAGGAAGGAAAAAAAAAGACTGTTAAATGAGAGTATGTAATTTGTAAAAATAATTACCCATATACTTCTCTATTTAAATGTTTTTCATAAGGATCTTTTTCTTTCTTTCTTTTTTATAAAAAGTAAAAATTATCGTTTGTTTAAACATTTTTGGTCAGTTAGGATAAAATCTTTAACTGACTTAAAAAAAAAAAAAAGAGAAAAAAAGATTTACGCTAGAAAGATTCTGTTTCATCAACCAAACTTAAAACATTTCGAATATCTAGCTTTTACTTCTTCTTTTTTTTTTTTAAAAAAAAGTCTTTATTGGTAAACAAATATTTCTAACCATAAACTAGAATTGTGCACCTTAAAAAACATGAATAAATGTACAGTAACATTAATTTGCAGATAGTAGTATTTAGTGATGAAAAAATTTATATTTTTATTGATTGCTTTTAGTAATAAGGTTGTCAACATGCAACTTGAACAATTTGATAAAAGTATGAAATATGGCTGAGAGTTTTTTTGTTACTGGAAAGTTATTTTGCGAAAAACATTTTTGGTTTTAAGTTAAGGGCAGTAGTATTTTCAGTATCTTTTTTTGCTACTTTTTTTAAAATACAATTTTTTTTCCTTAAATAATATTTTATATATTTTTTAATTTATTTTAAAGTGTTGATTTTTATAAAGAAAAGTCTAACATCTCCCAAAAAAATATTTTTAGGCACACATCAAATGGTACTAAATTATAAAAATAACATTTAAATATTTTTAAGTGATTTCACTTATTGAGTCTTGGTATTATTTTTTCTAAACTAAACTCAGTGGTGCGACAGCCCGTAGAGGGCCAAGGCCTACTGTGCCCATCTCAGTTTTCTTAACCTTGGGCTCTGGGGTGCAGGAGCTTGTGTTCCGGTCAGGTGGTCAGCCAAACGTGGAACCCCCAGTGTTTAGTTCCCAAGCATGCTTGGTACTCATTTATCGACGCACTGAAGGGATGAAAGGCTGAGTCAACCTTACCCGGCCCGAGGATCGAACCAGGGACCTGTGGCACGACAGCGCGAAGTGCTACCTCTCAGCCACCAGGTGATTTTTTCAGAGTTGTTAAAATTAATAGAAAATTATCGTTTACTTAGAAACAAAAAAAAAGAAAATGATAATATATAAAACAGTGACAATCGTGTATATCTTAAAATTACGTTGAACTTAAACTTTATTAAATGAATGTTACTTTAAATAACTCAAAATATTATATTTTTAGGAAGATTCCTTTTTTTTAAAAATATTTTCTGAAAGAAATTTAATCTACTGAATATCTTTCATGTCATAGTTTGAATGTAATTAGTATTTTTTGTTATCTGTAACAGCATATTCTAAGCAGACTGAATAGCTGACACCTCAGTGCAAATATTCAGTGTTTATGTTATAACCTTCCCTGCAATGAGATCGTCAGCAAACTTGCACTGAAACTTCCGTTAAAAATCCACACTCTCTTATCTGATACAGTATTAGAAGAATGAGAAATAATAAACCCATATTTTTTTTAAACTAATTTATAACTGATTGGGTACTGAACTAAGATTTAAGAGTTAAAACATTTATCCATATTTTGTTAAGTTACTTCGGGGAAATTTTAAATATAAAATATTGTTAGTTGAAATACTAATTTTACTTTTGTTCAATAAAAGTCATAAAAGCAAAACTTGATTCTGAAGTTCGTCTTTTTATTATTGTTTACTTTCATGTCTCAAAATAATAATATGTATACAATTCTATTTTTAGATCAATTTATTTACCACTGTTATACGTAAATTATTTTTTAAATAGTTGACTGATATTGAAATCTGTAAATTGTGATGATTACTCTATTTTTCAAAGTTTTATGAATTTGTTAATTTCTTCTATTTTTAGAAGAGATATTTTTTTTAAATCAGTGAGCGATAGATATAATATAGATATCATTAGTTTTAATTGTTAAATCTTAATCTATGAAATTTGCTTTTGTAGGATATTTTTACTCGTGCAGCTCCTGTAACAGAAGGGAAAGGAATGAGTTTACTTAAGAAGATGGGGTGGAATCCAGGTGAAGGCTTAGGAAAAAATAAAGAAGGTTCTTTAGAGCCATTAGTGTTGGACATTAAAACTGACAAAAAAGGTAGGAAAACTGCCATTTGTATTATCAAATTTTATAATAATTAAATATACCTGTTTTCTTTTCTTTGCAGTTAACTACTGGTATTTGTGAAAATATGCATATGTTTTTATTTATTCTTTTTAAAAATTATTCATTTATATAATTAAAGCAAAATGTTTATATGTATGTGTGTATTTACCATATACAAATCCGCTATTATGAATCAATCTACCCCAAATTTGGTGTAAATACGTTTGAAGACACGTCAGACCTAACTGTCTTCTTTAAAACTACCTTCGACCACCAGTTAGTGTGTTACTTCCCAAAGAATGAGTTTTCCGTTAGATTTGATAACTATTTTATAAATAAGGCAATTTTCAGGTTTGATCTATCAAAAGTTATTTTTGGTTTTATACACTAGATTATCACTAGTAAAATAAACCTAAATAATTTCACAATGTACAGTTCTGACATCACTGAATTATATTTTTTATAAATTGTGAAAATATTTTAATTGTCAAGATTTTTTATTTTATTATGTGAGTATATGTCTTTCAATTTTGTGCTTGCTTTTGTAGTGTTCATTAGTACTGATTTATTGATCATTCACTTTTTTCTCATACCATACAAAGAACTGGTATTCATCTAGTAATTCGCAATAAAAAATTACTCCAAAAGTTCATCTCTATAATGATTGATAAGATGTAATCAGTGTGTGAGTGTTTAAAAAAAATACTTAAAAATTATGACTATCTGTACAATTTTGAAACTATATTCTACTCTTTTAAATTTCAATATTTTTTTTTTCTTGAATAAGTATGTAAAATTTTGTTTCAAGTATGGGGGAAAAAAAGTTAAGTAAAGAATTTATTGCACTGCAACGTGCGCGGCTCTATAAAGATAAGTTTATAACAATAAACATTGATTTTGTACGTTTTCTAAAAGTTTAGAGGGCAAAACAACTAACTGTCAAAAGTGGCTTGTATATTAGCCATCTAGATGCACTACAAACTTTACTTTTGGAAAGAGAATGAGTTAAATATATTATCATGTCCAATTTTTTCTCAGCTTCAATCTGAATAAATTTTTATTCACATTCTTATTAATATCATATTTTAATTTTTTAAAAAGAAAATCCTGGTTACATACTTTGCAATACAATGACTAAATTTTTCAAATTTTTTTATATTTTGTATTAAAAGCAGTCAAAAGGTTTTGCACCTTAATTACTCAAGCTGTTTTAAAAGGAATTTTAAAAAACAGATAATTGAAAAATGTCTTGAATGAACTTGTCTCATAACTGTAAAATCAGTTCTAAAACAGAAATTTGTCACAAAATTACTCTAAACATAATTCTAAAATAAATCTTAGTGCCAAAAGTGGGAGATTAATATTTTCACAGCATTGCAAAATTATAATGCATTAAAAATTTTTTAGTTTCAATTTCACTTAAAGTACTGCAAGTATTGCTTTGAACTGTCTAAAAAACAATAAAACTAATGTACCAAACTATTCAAAACACACAAAAATCACTTCTAAAACTTGCTTTAAAACACAAAATAGTACTGAATTATGTTCTCTTATTGCATTAACTTTTTATGTCTTGTAGGCCTTGTTTCTGAAGGTGAAGGATCCAAGAAGTTAGTATCAAGTGTTCTCAAGGATTTGCAAGGTGATATGTTGTTCACTCTCTTTTTCGTTACTTATTATTTCACTCATGTCAAAATAACAAAATTATTAGAAATAAATATTTGTGATGCAAATAGCATATTCAAAGCCATTCTACATATATTTGATGTATAAGGGTCACATGATATTTTCTTTATTATTAACAAATTTATTTAAATCTCCCTAATAGGTAAACATCCTGTTTCTGCTCTCATGGAGTTGTGTAGCAAAAGAAAATGGAAACCACCTCTTTACACTCTTATTCAAGAGTCTGGTCCATCACATAAAAAGCTTTTCTTATTTAAAGTAAGTCCTTCCTTATATTTTGTTTCAACACCTATTCTATGCATGGGCTTTACTTTAATAAAAAAAATTTCATTGACAGATTCATTATAATTATTTACTTATCACAGACATAATACAGTTTAGTTTTCTTAAACAATTTGTCTATAACAGAAGCAGAGCTGTTAACGCTTTTTGGGAAAATTTCTTCTAGTGGTGTAGCTAAGTTTATGTTTTAAAGTATGATTGTTTTGTAAATTTGATTTAAAGTTATTTTCCACACCACTGCATGTTCATATCAAATACTACTTTGTTACAACTCTTTCATAGTGATGCTTTTAAAATGCTGCTAAAATTGCAAAAAATCCTAATAGCTTTAGTTTTAAATTACCTACGACTGTATAAGATATTTTCAAAAAAGCGTAGCAGTTGACAGACCTTCAGAAGCAAGAAGAAAAAAAAGTTAATAATCCACCATATTTTTTTTGCTATTCAAAACAATGGATAAATTTTAACATCATTTGGTATTTTTCAAAATGTCAAAAGCCATTAATCAGTATTTTAAGTAATTAAATTTTGAATTTATTTCTTTTAAAATTATTAAGTTTTTTTTCGTTAAAAACTTGATATAACGTCCTAGTTATAGTTGAAATATAGATTGCTTTTTTTCCCTTTTCAGTCGGTGTTATTAGTCGTAACATTAATTCATATATAAATAAAAATATTGTTTTGAAATTTAAAATAAATCCAAGTAACAAACTTTATTTTTTTAGTAGTTTAAATTAAAGAAACTAAAATATTAGATAATTAAATGTCTCTAAAATGCCAACACCAGCAACGAGAATTATTCAATAATTTTCGAGACTTAGATTTTTATTATTTCAGGGGGAAATTCCCTCTTTCTGTGATTCTGAAACTTATTATTTTTATTCAGTATAAAACCGAAATTATTACCTGATATATTTCTAAAATAAGTGATTATGTTTTAATCACAATTATCAAAATACACATTGTTATAAATCATTAATTTCGGTATAGAGAAATCCTAAATGTGAAATAAAATATTTTCCAAAATTTAAAGTTCATTATAGAATTTTCTGTAACTTGGCATATAAATTTTAAATAATATTAACTATGTTTTTACTTAAAACTAAAATCTAATTATGATTTCATTATTTTGCCATTGTTGTAAATAAGATTTTAAAAAACTTTTCTATGACCTAGAAAAAATTAATGTTAAATTATATATATAAATCTATGCTAGTCAAAAAAATTAATAGTTGTATCATGTATTTAGGGAAAGAAAATGTGTTATAATTTTGTGTCAAGCTATTAACGTAAAATTGAACTTTTGTAATTTTTACATAAATGTTTTATTGTTTAAATTTACATATAAGAAAAGTTACTATTTCCTATTAATAACTCTTCCTATCCTCTAGAGTCTTATTAAATTTTTTCAAATTAAAATTATATTAAATGTTATTTAAATAAAGAAATGCAACTAAAAACTGAATGAGATATATATTATGGAACGGTTTATAAGTTTATTACTTTAGTAGCGTTATTAATTTTACTGTCATGCTGATGTTATATGTGACTTATTTTATATCAATCAGAGGGTTTGTTGTGTCCAAGTAAATGAATGTTTCACAACCCTACGGTAACCTACTAATCTTTTCTTCCCTTTTGTTTTCTATCAATATGTAATGTCATTTAAGTTTCGTGCAGTAAAAGTACATTTAATATAATACTAAACATAGCTAAGTTTTAAGGAATTTTAAAATTGTGTCTGCTCATTTTCTGCCATAAAAAAATTTACTTTTAAATCCTATAGGTAGAAGTGAACAATGTTGAATATCAAGCTGCAACTCCTGTTAGTAACAAGAAAGTTGCTAAAGCTGATGCTGCAGTGATATGCTTGCAAGCACTTAGTGTGTTTCCAAAGACGTGATAAATGTCAGTATGACAAAATTGTATATATTTTTATGATACATTGTATGTTATTTTCAAAATTGAAAATAATTCCTTTTCTTGTATTAATGTATTTGCATTACATTGATATCATTATGAGAAATGTGAGTTCTTTCATTTGATAAGAATATAAATAAATAAGTGGCAACATTTGTGTTAAAATCTTGAAGCCTTTTTTACTGTATTATAATTAAAAAATATATATGTATAAAAATTTTGGATATACTACTGTAATAGGTATGTAAGTGCTAGCTAAATTTATTTAGCCTATTTTATTAATTCTTCTAATTAAAAATATTAGCCAGAAAGCTATCACTAAATTGAAAAAACCTAACCTTAAACATATTCAGTTTTATTTTAAGCTAATAGCTTGCTTATAAGTTTCCCACACCAATTAAGGATGGTTATTATTTAACAGATAACTATGATTATTTGGTAGATTATATCATCTTTTATAAATACCATATACTAGTATATATTTCTGTACTTGGATAAACCTGTACGAATACACATCCTATCCATTAAGTTTTAACTAGAGGAGAATGTATAAAATAAGGTGCCAAGGAAGAATAGTTGCTGCAAAAATGTCCCCAAAACACAGTAATAATTTGCTAAGAAAATATAAACAAAATTTGAACTATCTCTTATTACACAACTTTGTTTTTAGCAGTAAAATTCAAAAATACTTTTAAAGTAATTTCTAATAGTAAAATTTGAAATAGAAAATAATCTTTAGACCTAATTGTTTGAATTAAAGATAGCATTTCTTCTGACTCTGGATATTGCTATGTATAGTTTAATTTGCGCTGAATACAATTAATATTCGAAACTATGTATTGGAGATATTGTATGTGTGGACTTTATTACAATACACATTTTTGCAAAATTCGCATTTGTTATTTACATAGTTGCTTAACTGGTCTTTTACTCTTAAAATTATTGCAATATTCATAAAGCAAAATAATAAATGACGAAAAATAATTTTATTAATTATCCAGCATAGATACACAGCATTTTAAAGCAAAATAAACATTTTTCACCTAAAAATTATGATAAGTGATATTTTTTCTAAAAATTTTATATAAGAAACACTTTATTTCATGAAAAACATATTATGTTCATTTTTTTAAAGGATGGAGTGCTTTATTTGAAATGTGGTTTAGTTTGTGTCAAAAACTACTAAAATAAAATGAATGAATAAACTAAAGGTGAATATTGACAATAAAACTACTTTATAATATTTACTTCGTTCATCTCCACAGCTTGTATAGGGTGGACTAAATAGAATTAACCCCCCTTCCTTCAAAATAAAACATGGTTATTGAAGTAAAACAGTAAACTAAATCTGGCAAGATTTAAAAAACTCAAATGATTAAATTTTTTGCTCTCTTATCACATTTTTGTATTGTTTGTTATTTAGTTCTTATATAAGAAATAAATATCTTCACTATTTTATAATTTTTTTTTTTTCAAATAAAAACATTGGGAAAAATTACTTAAAACAAGCATTTATTCCAGCTTGTTTATAACAAGTGGAAAAATGAGGTTAAGGAATAAATCTACGAAGAATCAATTTGAATGGTTGAATGGAAATTAAGCTCTAGGACAGCGATAAATTTATTATTTTTTTTTTTGGATATGGATCTCTAAATATGGTCTATCTTACAATAGAACCGTGACCGTAAAAAAAATGTGAATGTGTTAACCAATAAAATACTACCTTATTTTAAAAGTATTTAATGTGAGGAAGAAAATTTTTCCATCTTTTTATCATACCTTAAATTAGATTTTATATCCAACAGTTAAAATTTGTAGCTCTGGAGCTGTATCTAGTTCAGTTGTTGATTTGTTTTTGGTCTATTTACAATTTTCTTTGAAATGAAAATTAAAAGAAACTACAACAGACATTTAAATTTTTTTATTAGGGAAATATCTTTCTTTATTAGCATATTTAGTTATTTAACATTGATTTGAAAACGGTGATATAAAATACTAAAACAATTTTTTAAAGCAAATTTTACCTATTCATATTTTATTCAATATATTGTTATTATAAAAATTATATTTTAAAAAAAATGCAGTTTCATTTTAATTGGTATTTAACTTTAAAATTTAATAAAATCGACAAAATATTAAATAATGGTTAATACTAAATAATAATGGATAATATTAAATAAGTGCAAACTCTCACAACCTCTTTAACTGTTCCGTGAGACACCATTTGGGAACTGCTGCTCTAGAATAAAATCAAATTATTTATTACTAGTCTATGTAAATGAATTATTTCATGATATAATTTTTTATTTATGTAGAACATCAATATATAGTCCATAGAGCAATATTTTTATCTTTTGAACCGGATGCAAAAACTGAATTTTTCTTATCTATGGGAAAAGGAGAGCATGCTAAACTGTGGATTGTTTGTTCATGAAAATTTAGAATAGCTAAAGGCTTTAAAGTTTTCCAACTAAAGATTTTTATGCTGAAATCCCATCCGGCTGCAATTACTATTTTTCCATCATGCCTTATCTTTACATCACTGACACCTGGTTCAGTTAAAGCCAATTGGCATACATTTTCTATTTGAAAATTATCACTGATTGACCATGTCTGTAGAAACTTATCAGCACCACCACTTATTCCTCTATTTTTTAATTCTAAGTCGTAATCCAGGCAAGTTACAAGTCCTTCGTGAAAATTCATGGAATGAACTTCATTACCGTCTTCACCATCTCTAAGCTCAATGGCACCATTTTCAAAACCGGCTAAAAAGAATTGTTTGCCATGTAATTTTATGACTTTTAAGCACATACATAAACCTTTCGATGCATCCATTTTTAATTGTTTTGATTTTCTTTCTTCTTCTAAATTGTAAATGTCTAGCAAATGTTCATCTTGATTATATAAAGTTATGAATGCTTTATTATCAGAGAGCCAAAAAACTGAAGCACAAAATGCAACGGAATCTGACTCAAAATTTCCTGTAAAAAAAAATAAACAAATCAACAAATTTGTAAAATAAATAAATTAACAAATCTGTAAAAATAAATAAATTTAATAAATCTGTAATAAAAAATAATACTAATTGTAAACCAGTTAAAATTTCAAATACTAGCACAACTGAATATATCTGTAATTAAACATATCATTTGAATTAATATTTGCAATAATTCATTAATAATTATTTAATTTAATAAATCTGTAATAAGAAATGACACTAATTGTAAACCAGTTAAGATTTCAAATACTGGCACAACTGAATATATCTGTAATTAAACATATCATTTGAATTATTGTACAAATATTTGTAATAGCAATAATTGTTTTTTTTTTTTCCATTAAAAACTATTATCCTCAGGGAAATCCTTTTGTTTGTTTAATTTTTGAAGTAAGATGTTACAACAGTACACTTGATGAGCTTTATTTTTGCTAGAGTATTTAATCAAATTTGTATAAAATGATCTAGAGACAAATTTAATTTTTTCTTAGATAGTTTTTAAGATTTTTTATTTGTTTGATAATTATTTATATAAATCAATACAAAAAATTTCCAACTATTAAAAATATTTTAATCTTATTTGCAATAAAATGAAATCAATCTAATTTTAGAATAAGTTAGTTTGAATAAAAAACATTTTTATGGCTTTGGTTAAGAGAGTTTTTTAAAATCAAAATGGGAGTAAAAGAAAGTTGCATTTTCTTTGGTTTCTACTTATTGCGTATCCTTATGATTAAATGGATATTAAAGAATACTTTTGCAAACCAGAAAAGGGTTATAGGATGGATAAATACACAACAATCTAGTATTTTGCATATGATTTAATTCTAATGGCATTAAAATACATCTATTTAGATGCCTACTTTGTTAGTTTGCATATAATAATAAGAAAACAACAATGAGAATCAATTAAAAAAATTGAATGTTGTGATTAAAAATGTGAAGAAAAAGTCAAAAGTGATTAGGACAAGGTGGATGATATACAGGGACTAGTATATCTTCTATCCTTGATTCAAGTAGCGGAACAGATATTGTAACTTACAGCACAACCGCCAAAGTAAAATTATCATTTAGATCATTAATGCAATTTTTGATATTTATTTAAAATAAAAAGCAAAACAAATACAAACTATTACAAAACAATAATAGAAGTGTTGCTTTACGGTGTTGAGAAGATAATGCATATATAAGCTAAAGATGCTTCAAAATATGTAATTGATGTTTAAAACTATATTTACAATATCTCAGATTGATAAGATAAAAAATTAAACCTAAAAGCCTAACCTAAAGAAACCTAAGAAAAATTAAACCTAGTATCAAGCCAAATTTTCACAACCAAGTTGTTTTATATCCTCGTTTAACAGAGACTGCATTAAAATATCAAATGAAAAATTAATTAATTATTAAGTCTACTATTACCAGATGTCTACTCTTCAAAGTGAAGTTTTATGTTAATCATTCTATATCCAAGCAGTTATTCATCTCAAATTTCATTCTTTAGTTTATCCTCTTTTTTTTTAGTTTAAGGAGAAAAAAAATCTAAAAATAAAATTAAGTTTTTATTTATACCTGCTCACAAACTTATCTTAGAACCAAATAAGTTAAAGTATTTATTTGTTAGAAACTTATAAAATTTTTATATTGTTTCACATAAACATAATACCCGGTTGTGTACCTTGATTTGGCCGAGAAATGGGTAATAAATCCAAATTTTTACCGGGTACCCGAACCCAAGAAAATTTTGGAACCCAGTACATCTATAATAGAAAAGAGAACCAAAGTACTAATTATTGAGGAACTGGACTGGTCATGTCTTAACCAAAAACACCCACATCTAAAACTAGAGAGAATATAACATGTTTTTCTCTCCTGGTCTCTCAATGACAAATGAAAAAGGAGTAATCCTAGAATAACGTGTCAGAGATAGATTTTGAGAAGAACAAAATCAAAGAATGCAAAATCTTGGGCCAGAGACAGCGGGATATAGAGGGATAGGCTTGTTGGTTATGTATTAGCCGAGGGCATGGAAAACTTAGGAACTGTGGTATGGGTTCAAGGTATTTCGTACTAAAAATATATTTGAATGGTACATATATTTAGTACTTACGTATTTGGTACATATTTAAATAATTTTTTATTTCAGTAACAGAAGTTTTTTTCTTCCAAAGAAAGGAGTTGATTTGAAAACATTGAATTTTAAAATTAAGCTTTTTATTAACAGGGGTCTGTCTAGGTTTTTCTGTAAAGTACCTATTTTGTAAAAATTTAGACATAATTTGTGAAAATTAAAAATTATATAGAAAAATCAGCACAAAAAAATGGTGAAAATATGGATTTATCTATCCTTACTAGACACAAAATTAAAATTTTAAGAAAAAGTATTTTGTTAAACTACCGTTTTTTCTAATGTTGAATTTGTGAAGGTATCCCTAAATCGGTAGTAAATTTAGTTTGGACAGACCCCTGATTATAGTCCCTTTGTACTTCCTTAAATCTAATTTGCTTAAATAGTAAAGCAGAACAAAAAATTTTAATAAGGGTGAAGATATTTATTTTTTCTATCAAAATAGATATCTACTTAGAATTTTTTTATAAAAGAGAAACATTTAATTTGAAATATAGGTTCAAATCTATTGTAAATTATTTTAAAACAAATAAGTAACTAAACTAATAATATTCTTTGAGCAAGGGGTAAATATTTCTGATATAAGCTGTACTAAACTGATTGAAACACAAAAAAATTTGTTTGAAACTTTGAATATGGACATTATTTTAAAACTAGTTATTACTGCTCTTTTTATCCCTAGGTCAGAGAACTGACCTGTAACAAAATATTGTAAAAATAAGTAAATTCTTACGTATCACAGTCCAGTTAAAATTGTCATAGCTCCAAACATTTATGACGCCATCTTTACTTTGGATGAAGAGCTTAGATTTGTAATACTTCAAGAACATTATTGGTTTCTTCATAGGACTGATAAATTTGAAAAGGGTTCGAAAACTCTAGAAAAAATAACATATTAAATCAATACACAAATTAAACTTTAATACTTGTTTTATAGAAATCAAATTTACTGAAAATATTTTAATGAGTGCTTTTTAAATTTAATGACTCAGTTTAAAATTACTTCTTTTTTTTCATTCTTAAATCCTGAATTTTTTGAGAAATTTATTTTCCTTTTTGCGATTTTTCCAGTTGTTCCTTTACTTTATCAGAATATTTGTTAATTTACAACAAAAAAAATTTTTCACATTAAAATTTTTTAAATCAGATGAAATAATTCAATTATTATAAATAAGAATCTGATAAATTTAAGTTCCTATATATGTTTCAATTTAAAAGGTTTAAAAAATAAACAGAACTATCTTATAACAAGAACAAAAAATTATATAACATTTCTATACGTTATGGATAAAAAAATGTACATATCAGTTAGAATTTGTCAATACACTGGTTTAAGAAAAGTCCAATAACGTAAATGATTAATGCAGTAATTTGTAATTTTTTTTCTGAAGAGAACAACTTTGAAAGAATAATAAGTCACCTGGAGATTCCAAATAAATATTTCCCCGGCATCACTCCCAGATAATAAAGTTGGTTTAATATCTATAGTATCGTCAGTTTCATTGTTAAACTCCAAAGCAGTTATATTACCTTCGTGACCGTGCAAAATGAAAAATGGTAATGGTGGCAATTTTGGCATATCTAAAAATGTCAAATGAGATTATATGTAAAACACTTCGTATTTATTGTCCTTATAGAAAAGAAAGTGATCATGATAGGATGTCAATACATTTCAAAAACAGCAGACGCATGTCAGGTGTTTACAAACAAATTATACCATTGCCAGCGAAGAAGAATATTTTTGAAATCTAATTTCAAATTTTATTGATTTTTCTACTCACTTTAATTTAGATCAGTTTATCATATTTTATTACAAAATCTTTTAAAGGAATTCAGAAAGCATTTTTGTAATTTTATTTTTCTAAGCCTTCACGAGTAATTACTTAATTGTAATATTTTCCTTCGAAAATAGTAAAACATTTCGCCAGTAGATGGCAGTGTATGTACTCAAAATAAAATACTTCAAAAGGAATATTTTTCTTTCCCTTTACATGAGATTTCTCTCTTGTCCAATGAAAACGTCATAACAGCTCTCAAGCGAATTCGGAGGAGTGCACTCCTCCTTGTCATCTGGCAAGTTTTGTTGATTCTTTACGTAGTTTTGTTTGTAATTTATATTTTTCAAAAGCATGTCTAGGATTACATCAAAATAACAAACACGCTAAAAGCATTATCGCATAAAAAATGATTGTTTTGTTATTTCCCCGTCATCTTCGATGAAACATCGAAAGGATTCACGATCTTTAAATTCTTGAGTTGAAGGAGAATTCTACAAATAATTTTTCTTAAGTTTTTCACTTTTTTTTGTGTGCTGCTGATGTGGGTGAAATTGATATGTTTGGCTGTGGTGATGCTTTCGCCGCAAGCCGTCGCATCAAATACAAACCTGAGTAAGTTAATCATGACTTTATTTAAATATTATGAATGTATTATTTAAATTGAATGCATTATTTAAATGTTACATATATTAGAAATTATGAATATTAGTCACATGTGCACATTGAGTTCTTAACTTGTTCTCCTCGAACAAATAATACTATATGTATTAAAGAAAAATAATGTGAACTATCAAAGCATGGTTACTTAAAATTGGTTAAAATATTGTTTATTTTTGATAGGTTTTAAAGTTCATTAATTGATTAAATGTAAATGTGTGTCCTTATAATTGTAGCATTGTATCTACTTAGTTTAATGATCATTCTCAAATTAAAATATTTCTAAAATATCAAGAATAAAAAATCAGAAATTGTTCTTAATTTCCCCAAAAGTGTTGCTAGTATGTTATGGTCTGAAGAATATCAGAGTATTAAGAGTTTTCTTTAATTGATGATAAGAATTTAGATAGAATAATAAGAATAAGATTAGAATAATACGAATTTTTTTAATTGAGGAATATTGTCTAATTTAATTTCTTGACAGTGAATAATTTTCTATTTCTCTAAAACTTTCAATGTTGCTAAATAACTCTTTCCCAAGAAGTGTTTGATGAATAATCAAAATGTAATAAATATTATTACTCTGTAACTGACTTTCTCCAAGGATGCGTAGCGTTTTTAAAGAGTGCTTAAAGATGCTTATTTTTGATTTACAATTTTTAAAAGTTCTTAAAGGTGCTTTTTTTTATTTAGGGTTTGTGAAAAAGTGCTTAATTTTCTATCTCTTAAAATTAGTTTTTTTCTTCATCGTGTCGATCGTCGTCATAAATTACAAAAAAGCATGATTTTCACAATTTTCTCAATATCTATCAGAAACTAAGTTTTTTATCATGATTTTGTAAAATTTTTGCATTTTGTTGATTTAATGTTTATAAATTAAGAACTCTAAACGATAGAAAAAAATAATTCTTATTACTGCACATATCCTATTTATGATTTTTCTTCTTTGGAAAGTGCTTAAAAATATTTTTTGTGTGCTTATTTTTTGTTGAAAAATATGGCTATGCACCCTGTTCTGCCCTTGCAGTTCACAGTTTGATGCAAACCAGTATGATGTTGATTGTTATAATAGTTTTGCAACCAGTTCGATGCAAACTTTTATAAATTAATATTTATTCACATTTGATCGAATCTAAATTAAATTCTTCAAAAGTAACAAAGTGTAGTTATGATTCTTGTCTTTAGACAATTATCATTTACTATTTATACATACTTGATAATCCAACTCGTATAGTGTCAGTAAACCACAAAAGAGTAGACAGTAATTTGTACCCCTCTCACATATTTGAAAAATATAGCTAAATACAACATACATAGCTTTTGGCAGTATACTCACACATTAACTTTGGCTTTTATTTGCAACTAAAGAAAAATGAATAGGTAATTAAACTACTTTTGGACATAGATTCCCTATTTTATAGAATCCATTTATTAGTTGCACATTTCGAACTTATATTTGTAATTTAGAATAGGGCTGTGAAACTGCTAAAATTTTTAAAACTTTGCGAATAGTTTGTCACAATCAAATGTTCATCGAGTTTTTATTCATCATTATTAGATTTTTCTTGAATATAATTGCTTCTTTCAAATTTACGAACATATTTTCCAATCTGATTTGATTGTTTTGTGTAGTAGGTATGATCCCTATTTTATGCTACATAATTGTTTAAATTAAATATATAATTTTTTTTTTCGTTTTAAAACTTTTATTACTTAATGTGATATTTAGTAAAAGTGCTATTAAAATGCCTGCCTTATGTAATTAAAATCGAGAAATTACTTGCTTTCATTTAATGTATCTATGCATATATTTACATATTTAATAATTTTTCGTTAAATCCATTAGTTAATAAATTATTGTTAAAAATTTGTAAACTATTCCTCAATTTTAAATATTGCCTTAAATTAAATAATAAATAAGTTGGAATTTTCACTTACTCTATATAGGCTAAAAATAATTGTTTCCTTATTAGAGTATAGATGTACCAACTCAAACCTGTAATTTATTACCTATGCTCTGGCTTAATAGTTATAAGTAGTTTTTTGAATTGGGTTGATGAAGTTTTCATACTTTTAATTTAGCTTCATTTAATTTCAAATGAACCAAATTCAGTTTTAGATTATTCAATTTATTTCAAATAACTGTTTGTAAATGTATAGGTATATTTTTTGTAGACCAAATTTAGTCATGTATTTGTTTCTTTAATGGCCTCATTCTATACATTGGCTATTTGTGAATCAGTAAGAAGTCGATAATGATTTGCCAAATGATTTAAAGATTATCTCAACTTATCAGCGCTTTTTTTTTAAATTGTGAAGAAATTTCTTATTATAATTTTGTGGTTATCATTATTAGTAGTTTTTGTAATTTTTATTGGCTATTTTTTTGTTCAATAATATCCAGCTGAAAATGTATAGATAATTTCTAAAAGTAATAAATTATTTTTGGAGATTTTAAATTAGTTTTTATTAATGAATAAATAAAAAATAATTGAATTTCTCCAGCTAAAACATGAATAAATATTAAGTTAAAATGAATAAATAATTAATTGAATAATAATAAGTCATCGGTTATTTCCTTTAAGAGTGAACTTGAACTCATCTCTTTACTGTACCCTTCTGCCATAGCCATTAGAACAGTGATTCTCAACCTTTTATTTGTGGCGGCACTTTTTTAACTATTTCGAAATTTGACGGCACACAATGAAAAAAAATAGTTTAACAGTTGTTTACTTACCTATAATACACTGTGTTAAATAGTCTGTGATAATAACTTTGAATATGAAATAAAAGATTATGTACTACAAAAGCACGTTTATTAAGGGATTAATTATTTCTTTTGACTAATTTTTTATTAGTAACAGTTATTTTTTTTTGCTAGTTATTAATTGTTAGCTTGTTTCCTACAGTTATTAACTGTTAGTTTTTCTTACATTAATTATTATTTTTTGTGATTTCTTATTAATTAGTTTTTTTCATAACTATTAACTGCATAGCTTACTTTAATGATTAGCTTTTATTTCCTTTGGAAAGTTAATATTTAGCTTGTTTTAGCCTTTGTTAATTATTTTAAGAGTCATTAAATTTCTTACTTATTTAAACATTTTTTAAAATTGTGTGTCAAAGACAATTTAAACACTTCCTTCTTATTTTAACTTATTTTAAGATTGTCAGAGACAAGACAATCGCCGACAAAGATGTTCACTCGGTTAAAGCGTGGAAAAATTATAAAAAGTATATTTATAATATTATATATATGTACACTTTTCTATAATTTAAGCTTTACTCGTAATAAAAAAAGCATTATAATTTTTATTGTATCATTTCTAATATTTGGCGGCACATTTTAAGAATTTGGCGGCACACAAAAGTGCCGCGGCACAGTGGTTGAGAATCACTGCATTAGAAGATTGAAATTAAATTTAAAAAAATATTCAAGTAAGAGGAAAAAGTTTTTTTCCCTTTAATTCACTGTAATATTATAAATTTAAAATATAGTGGTAATTAATTCTTTTGATATCAAAATATTATAATACATATTTTCAATTATTGCATGAAAAGGAAACTCGGGCTTTTTAAGATGTGTGAAATAGGTGTCAAATAGATATCTGATATTTTTTGCAATATTTTAAAATTTTGCTATTGTCACATATTACTTGCAGGTTTGTTTTTATATTTTATTAAAGGCTTTAAAATCGTTTATAAAATCTAACTCAAAATAATTTTATTATTTAAATATTCTTTTATTACAAATGAAATTTGAAGATTTTTTTCATTGATCAAAGGAATTAAACATTTTAAAATTTTTGCTTTGAATAAATTTATAAAAAAAATTCGTTTTATTTAACACTATATTATAGTTTAATATAGAATTTTTTTTATGAATTTATAAAATTATTAAACATGGTACGATATTATCTTTTTGTTTCATTATCATAATATGTTTGAAAAAAAATGTACAATTAAACTTGCTAGGATAAGAGTACAACAAAGTATAACCAATAACAAATTTTTAAAAGCAAAGTAAGATAAACGTGCCATTCCACATTTCAAAGCAAATGTAACCGGCTACTTTTAATCTGTGAAGAATTTTTAGAAGTTGCCATCTGGTACTTTTGCAAAGGAGAAAAGTTCCGAGAATGTTTTTTTTCTTCCATACACTGATCTCTTTCAGAATCTAGTTTGCTCTGTGAGAAAGCATTCATGTTAAAAGATAATCTTAATAATTAGATCTTAGTCTTGCTTAGTCTTTTTTAAAATTTACATTTCTTATTGAAATTTTTTAAATCTTTGTTATAAAAGAAAAGAAAAAAAAGATTATGCATGTTTTGATTTTTATAATTAAATAGATTATTATTTGTTGCTTATTCTCGTACAGTTGAAAATATTAAAAAAATAAATAAATAAAATAAGCATAATTTTACTATGGCTGTTATTGTATAATTAACATTAAATAGAATTGAACTAATTCTTAACAATTGTTAAATTTAATTCCCAAATATTTTAGAACGTTTAAAACTTTGAAATAGATACTTAGTAAGAACATTATTAAAAAATTACAAAAAAGGGAGTTTAGAGAAAGTTTTTCAAAGTCTCGCAGTTTTGCTCAGTGCGAGTTTTATAAATTAATTAATGCATATCCTGCCTTACTTGGAGAAAGTGTTTTGAATTTCTGCAGTTTTTCTCAGTGTGGGTTTTATAAATTGATTTATGCATGTCCTGTTTTATATGAAGATGGTTAATAAATTATTTGAAACATAAGCATGTAAGTTAGCATGCATATTTCCAAAAGTTTTTTTAAAAATATATTTACTTGCAAAATTATAAGCATTTTTGCACTTTTATATTCTCAATTTACCGATGTAAAAGAAATAATTTTAAACTTGCATCAAAATATAATTGCATTGCTGCATTAGAACTTTAATATTTGCACAAGCATTGTATATACCTCAATT